TCAAGATGTCGCTAATGACTTTATTATCAATTCAAAATGGTCGCCAAACAAAGAAATCAACAACATTTCGCTATTACGTCATTTTACCACAATTCGCTAAAATTGCATGCCACTTTTCAACATGTTTTACAGTACTACCGGTACCCCATACCACACTATTTCAGAGCTTCAACTTCGGAGGAAATTGTCCTGATTTTTTTCTAATGCTGTTTGATGTTACCTATATTAATCCTATATGCTTAAGACATTATATAAATTTTGGCTATGAAATTAGATTCCATACTGCGAAATTCCTGTCCTGCTATTTAATGCATGCAATATACTGAATTTTTTTAAACAAGGGAACAGGGGCGCAGCGCCCTTATTCCATGGCCATGCGCCCCCTTACCCTGGGGAGCAGATCCTCTGGCAACCATAAAATTCTGATTGACCAGGAATCACATGTGGCCACAGTCAACTGTGACCTGTCTGATAGTAATTTTGGCCCCAAGGAAGCCATAGAATGCTCCATTTTAACTTAGTATTATCAAAAACTCCACACCCTGGTAAGGAGAACCCTACATCTCCCCCGCTCAGTGGCACCACTGAATTGCAGTGTTCCCTCTTGCAGTTTTTTTATAGAAAAACCCCTGGTGCAGGTTAAAATACTGACCCATGCAATACACTGAGTTTAGATAGCATGCTTCAGTATAGACCTCACAGCCATTCAGATATAATAGAACTCTTCACACAACCTGAGCACCCTCTTACATTACCATCACCACCACCACCTTATGTACTTCACCACAGCAGCACAGAAGAAATGAACTACAATGTCCACCAACTACACTTATAACATTGCAATTTTGACAAAATAATTTTAACTTCAGAATGAAAAAAATCTTTGTGACACATAAATGGTAACTTTCCGGATATAGCATAAAGAATAATTTTAAATAATGGTAATAGGTAATCATAGTCATTATTCAATATAATATAATTTTCGAACAAAGTATCCCATCTCAATGATAGATTAATAGAGAGGGAGAGAGAGAGAGAGTGAGAAACTAGAATGAGAAAGGATACTTTGTCTGAAATATCCAGTTATATTTATTGATCCTAACTTACACCAATTTTGAAATTTTAAATCTCTGGCTATAAATACTATACGCATATAAAATGTCATCACAATAATTGATCTTTCTAAGACAATATTATTTTGTTTGAACTGAAAGTACCATATTTGCTCTTTTAGAAGCACATCTCCAATCAGAAAGCCAGAAATGTACACCAAACTGATTTATCAGAGTTAAACTTTAATGACATTGGATTTATGTAACCACATGCACTACATGTACAGGTGGTGGTACATGTTCACATAATGTTAAAATGGTTTTCCCTACAGGAGATATTAGCCTAGGGTTGGTACATGTATGTTTCATAAGCCAAAGAAATTACATACACATGTGTTTTAGTGGAGATGAGATTCTAATATCTAGCCAGTATGATTTTCACAACGAATACACATATTATGGTATAGTTCCCATGAATATTTGCTCTATTTTAAGTGCATGCACTTAAGTAACCATCAGTGTTCCACCTAGCTAATTAGCATAGTTCAGTGCGTGTCTGCTGTACAGTACCAAAATACAATGCACTTCTGACAGAGCAAATACCATAAGACCTGCATGTATACATTATAAATGTGGCATTTAATTGCCTCAGTTCATTAACGCTTTTAATGTGGTAATTTTTCTCAGCAAAATGTAGGTGTAACATTATTTACATTTTTATGTATTTTCTGATATTATGTTTTGGTCAAAAAGTTTGAAAATAAAAATTATGAGGGTTTATTTTGAAAAAGGTGACAAAATGCAGTGGTCACCACATTATGCCATGTGGTCACATCACAATGTGTTGTCGTCGTCTTGTGTCGTCTAGTTGCCTCATCATGCCATGTGGTCGTCGCATCATGACATATTGTCGTCGAATCATGTTACGATCAATATGAGCCCCAGAGAAACATATATAATGAAATTAAAACATGCACTCAACGACAACCACCACTAATTTAACCACTGGTGCAAAAAATGGCAATCTAACATTCAAACTCAACATGTCCCTACAATGTATTCCCAACCTTTTGAGTTATATTGGAAGAAATGAAAAAAAAACATTCAAACCTTGAAACCTAAACGTCCTTGAGAATACTGAGAAAAGAAAGACGAGAAGAAACATAGGTATCCAGGAAGTCAGCAATCCACGCCAAGATGTACACGTCATATTTTTACAGTTAAAAACTGTAATTTAGACTAAGCATGCTACCGGTAATATAACATGCTATACATCTTCTGAAAGCTTAGATATAGATGAATACAGTACAGCACATGATGTACCAATGTTTGTACAAGGGATTACCTATGCTGCATCTGTATTTTTTCTATAACAGGGATTTGATATTTGTCCACATGTTAAGTTAAATACATTGTTATTATACATCAAATTCCAACACTCATTGAGCGATGCCTCAGGTCTACATTGTAAGAAAAAACAGTAAACACACTGTGATTTTAGCATGCCAAAATGGTTTGTTGGATGCATCCACGCCAAAATACTGTACTTTAGTTTCGCTTGGAATTTATTTTCACTATTTTCGCTGAAGGGATGATTCTGTAAAAATAAAATCCAGTGAATATACTTTTTTTTCTATATTTCACATTAAACTCATCAAAAATCAGTGAAAATAAATTCCATACAAAATGCCCAAAAAGCCTTTTCAGCGAAAATTAATTCTAGCTAAAATAAAGTATCCCACAGTATATAAAGTTGGCTTGAATTCCACCAATGAATTATAAATAATAAAAAAAGGTTAATTACATTGATGTTGACAGCAACTATTTTGACCCGATAACAGAGTAGGTTCTCACTATACAGGAAGTACATAATATACAGACTCAAAAAATTACTATACAATATAAATTTTTATATTTAGTGTTTACCAGATGATGCCTTCACAACTCAAAAAAGAAGCCAACTTAATTTTAATATTTTGAAATCCAATTATGCCATGAATGTTCTCCCCAGCACAATGTTTTAAGCATTGTGGTAAATTTGCCAGGATGAAAAGCAAGGTAATTAATTAATTTGTCACTAAAAATCCAAACACATGCAGGACTAGCTATTTTTTACAGAAGCAAATTTTCAGAAGTGAAAATGGCGACAGTTAAAATTTTGCCAGCAAACATTTTCTCAACATTTGGAGTTTAATATACAATAAATACCAAACCAAATGCCATATCAAATATACATTACTGTAAAATTAAATCAAAGACAATGTTATCCCAAAATCTGACTCTCATTTCCCATGCCTGGCAAAGACTGAAAAAATGGACTTGCTTTACCACTAATTTTAAACCGAGATTCACTTCGCAAAAATGCTATGTTCAGATTTATGAATTTCATAAGAAATGAAAATCCTAGCCATTACATAATCATACCTTATTGTTTAAATCACCAGATTTAGAAATCCCAGTTTTGTTAATAGCTTGAATACGAGAAAGTTAGACAACTGGCAAGTCGCAGTAACTTTCATGAATTTTGGTCACAGTAAATGCCATCAAAGTATTGAACCATGCAAATTTTTGGCAACAAGGTTTAACAGTTTTTATCAGAAACCGAGTAAATAATTACTTCATACCCTTCAGTTGTCACCACAATTAATGTTTACGATTGATCATTTTAGAATATTCATGATGAAAAAAAAGGGAACCCAATGAAGTGATCATAGAGATTCTCAGTCTTAAGGACAATTTTACAGTTTGTGTATTTATTTCAACAAATTTAAAGGATTAATCATTTGCTGGGTTTTATGTACGCTTATTTACCTGAAGAATAAGTATGGTAAATTAATTAAAACCCAGTGAGTACGCAAAGAATGTAACATTCCCTTTACAACCCAGTGAAATTAAATCCTTAACAATATTTCAACAATAATATTTCACCTTGTACAGGACAGAAAATTGATATTTTAATTATTTAATTTCATTATATATTAATGAACTGATTTTTAAAAATAGTAATAAATTCTTGAATGCTTTATTTATGTATGCATCAGATTTGGAAAAATGAAGAGTAATAGTTTAATGATTGAATCATTCACTGTCAAGGATAAGTTTATTTACTCTGGCTTCGAAAAATTTGTTATATGTATTTTAGATTGTGTTTAATGTTGTGTTTTTGTGATTGATGTATTCATTTGTGATCAGTTACCAAATAAAATATGTTATTCTATAAATACTGTTGTTTTTTTTGCTGAATCTTGTTGTACATTAATAGCAGTGCTAATTTTATAAGGCAGTAACTCTATTATGGTAGATGCAGAACGAGTATTTTCCAGTTCCCAATAAAAGCATCAAGATATTTTTTTTTTTTATCAGAAACGAGCCGAAATCTATTTTAAAAACAAAGACATAACAAAACCAAGGTACTAATGAGTAATCAATAGAATGAGTATTTTGGTTTTACAAGTTTCACAGGCCAGCGTAGTGAAATATACACTCTGCCATGACTGCCATGTATACTGACAGATGAAGCCCAGTATGTAACAGTACCCAAGATGCAAAATCGCTGGTAATTCACTAATGCTCAATTAATGACAATAGCTTTTAGGGACTTGCATTTTTTTTAATAAAAATGAAAGAAAAAACATGTCAACAAAAATAATCAGTTAATAAATAATAAAAAAAATAAATAATAATATCGTGATTACTGAAGCCCGGTCACGCTATTTACAACTAGTAAGTTCCGTATTCGCACATACATCATAGCAAATAACACAAAACCATATCGCTTAATCCACAACAGCTGTCTTTGCGCTAGTACCTTTAAAACATGATGATGTCATTTACAGAAAATAAAATCGGCACAGGCTGTGTTACTCATGTGACTCTTCAAATTTACATAATCAAAACACCAAAAGTTGCTTTCTACCATCGTCAGAATTTCTATTACGTACCTTGTCTTTGGCGGTCTGTACCCAGCCGCCCCACCAACTTCCGCCTTCGCCACTGAAACCAAACACGTAAAACATATTAGAATACCGTAAAATAGCTGAAAAAATGTTTTTCAACGCCATGGTATGGATAAATTCAGAAAAATTCGAGAGATTTTATGACAACAGTACTCACCCTTCCGCCATATTTGTTTTGTTTCCGATAACTCTAATCTCGCCACAAGAGGGCGTAGTAACAACACTTATTTGTTTGTTTTTGTTCATAAAACCGGGTTTATTTCGACATCAAATCGTATCAACTGTAAATGGATTTTCAATACTAGTGCAAGAATAATTACGAATATATAAATTCATAGGACAACCAAAACTTATCATCGATTGACGGCTTAACACGAGAAATCGCGAGACTTAACAAATGACCTACAGTGACCTCGAGTACCAGCTGGTGGCTGTGACTTGCTACGCCATCGCTGACGAAAGTAGGAAAGGTTGTCAATCATCATGAGTATGCCAGTTGTGTCCATTATTGCCGCGTGACGTAATTAGTTAATTAAGGTTTGTATCTGTTCATTTGGAGTTGAAATATCATTGAGCCAGTATAGAACGCTGAAAGAAATTTGTTTGTTGTCATTTTTTTATAATTATATTGATGATCTTTTGGCCTGCCGTGGAGCTCCAAAGATCTGTCAACACTTCATAGAAGGGCCCAATCCGGATTTAATTCAAATTATCTAATTTAAATAGAACAAATAGCATATAGAATAAATAGCATATTAAAATTTCTCATAGATGCCACACAAAGATGCCATAATTGCAGTTTTGGCCACTGCTTAAAGTGAAAATTAGTGGCATCAAAGCAAATTTTGGTATGCTAATCACACTGAATGGTCAAATTACTACACAAAATTGTTCTTTTCGATTATAGTCAGAATTCATTGAATACTGTATTTTTCTGTTTCATAAAATCATGAATATATTTAGAATATGTTTGATATTACTTGGACAAGATTTAAGCATAAGTTTTTGTGACAATAGATCTTTGAAAAGCAGACAATGGTGTAAGATGTTATAACATAGGTTTAAACAAGTCAGGTAAAGTTTATATATTAATATGTAGTAAAAGATGGGCAAGCCAGTCAAATTACATTTTCACTTATACACTGTTGCAGTCCCCGGGAATGGTTAGGCCATTGCTTTGTGTTGTACAGCCATGAAACTATCCCTATGGTATGTTTTTGTGTTGAATAAAATAATCAAGTGAGAGGAAAATAGATTTGTTCAGACAAATTTAGATTATCATTGAGTTATTCAATATGTTAATTACATGTACAACAAGTAAAAGTAAATCAGTCGGGTAACTGGTTTCAACATGCAAACTGATGGATGCTGCTGCAGCTACTGATTCTCATTAATGTGCATGTTAAAAACTTCAAATAGTTTGGCAGGTAAAACAAATTTGCATGACTTGTTTTAATAAAAATTTTTTTTGGGGCTGATTTTTTTTTTTTACATTTTGGCAAAAACCCCCCAAAAAAGTTTTGAATTGTAGTGTGAAATCGCCAAAAACGGGAAGTGATCCTAAAAACCTCAGAAACAACAATAAACTTCATGATCCATCAAAATAAGAGTACTGAAAACAGGTTAGGGTTGGCGTTAAATTTTTTATGCTTCCATGATTTCCGTGACCACTTCCCAAGGTTACTCTACACTTTTGAACTAATGCGTTGACTGAGCAAAAACAAAGATTTTTTTTTTTGTGCCTAATGCCAATGAAAATGCCCAAAGATAATTATTAATTATTTTAATTTTATTAATTATTTTAATTATTAATTAATTTAAAACCTAATGCATATCAATGCAGCATGATATCCAATAAAATTTAACCTTTCACCTAGAGCAAAATTTGCAGTGCATTTTAACACTAGAAGTATTTTCCCTACCAAAAGTTTAGTGCAAGTATAAATTTTATAACTTTTATCATCATTTTAAACTATACAGATATTACAGATATTGCTTTCAGTTTTCGATCACAAGGTTTGTCAATTTTTATCAATATCTCATGCGTGGGGAGGGAGCAGACTTGGTTCTAGTACCGGTACATGTAGTGAATACTGTGTTAACTGACATAAATCCTTAATATCAAAACACTTTGATAAAGACTGTAAGCATGAATTTATCTCCTTTGTCTTCTTACAGGGTTTCCATGGTAACAAAAATTTGTTATAATAACTTGTGATATATCACAAAATGAGTGATAATGTTAGTGTTGTGAGTGTTGAGAGTTCATGTACCTCACCGGATTCACCAAAAGGATTGAGAAAGTCTGTGAATAAGGTAATTCAATGCGTTTGACGTATTGCTTGCTGGCTTTAATTTCCCCCATTGATTTTGGGATGCCTGTGGAGTAGGAAACTTTCTCTCCCAAATTTTCCTGCACTTTTATTTTATATTCTTCAATACTTCTGGAAAAGAACCCTAATTTTGGAGCCAACAGACAAAATTTGAGTTAATTTTTACTCAAACAATGTGTCTACTTTTGTCCCAATCTTCTGAAGGAAAGTGCAGACTATAAATGGGACTATTTTCTGAATTTGTCATGAAAAGAGGGAACTGATAATGCAAACACATTCAGCTTTTGTAGGATCAGCGATCAATCAGAACTTGTGTATCAGGCCACTCTCTTAACGTAGCAACATCGGAAATGAGTTAAAAATTTATCTGTGATTGAGACATTCCCTAAAAGTTACTAAGCATGCTTTTACAACAACCTATATATACATGTATCATCCAAAAGCTTAGCTATTGGCAAATACAATAGTGCGTACATGTATACCTGTCATTTAATTTTTAACACATTTTTCCCTTGTTACTTTCTTAATTGGTTGATAAATCCCATCAGAAGAATGCTGCTTATAGTGATTTGCACTGTCATTTTGTCCGATATTCACCAACGGTATCAAAAGCGATCTATACATGCATGCATTCTAAACACATTGGGTAAGCTTGATAAATATTGAGAGTAAACACTGAATAAATGGAAGAATTTATTTATTTGAATCATCGTGATATTGTTTATTTCCTTCATCTAATGCACCAACATAAACACTTTCCATCTGTAGGGGGTTATTACATCTATATTGATTGTACCACAATGCATTCTGATTTGACCATTAGAAAAAAAGTAAAGGAAGACCGGTATTTCTATGGAGCGTTAGTGACGTCTCAAAATGGCTACGAAGACACTGCCCATTATATTACGGACTTTATGGTAATTTATTTGAAGAGCATGAAATATCAGGTCAGTTAAACAACTCAATACATGTACATTGTATGTATAATTTGACTGTACATAGGGATGATTTGATAATTTAGCCTTTGGACCTCTTAACTTCTTCTCTAAAACTACTGGACCCATTTAATCTCTTCTCTAAAACTACTGTACCTCTTAATGTCTTTTCTAAAACAACTGGATCTCTTATAACTATGAATTTATAATATTTCCTTCTCATTAACATATTTTGTATATTATTCAGGTAGAGCATTAGTTCATTTAAACAGCAGAAAGTTAGACCAGATGGGCATAAATAATGCTGATCATAGGTAAGCAAGACCTAGCAGTTCATTTTCTGCTCTCTCTCTTGAACTTAAACTTGCTTTTGCTTGCAGATGCTTACGAGTTATCTTTTGTGATCTCATCAATTTTGACCAACTGGCAGCCATTTTGATAATGAATTGATACTTTGAATGTGTCCACAACAAGAGCCTATACCTATATAAATATTAATCAGATTGATTTATAGATATGACTGGGCTGATTTCAATCAAACCCGTTATGATGACAACACATATTTGGTTGCAGGTGCTCGTTTTTTTTTTTTTTGCATGATCAGATTTTAGATGGCCATCATTATTTCACTATGTCCCACCCTGTTACTCTGGATCAATGTTACTGTTTCAAATCTTCACTTTTTAATCTCAGTGACTTCACATGATTTGATTTTTTTTCATGATCCTCTAAAGATTAGAATGGCGACTATTTTAATGTAAAAATTTATTCAAATCAAGCATTTCTGTAATTCTGGAACTGGATCTTGGTCATGCCTAGACTTATTTTATTCAAACTTGGTATGTCTATTAAACATAATGGTCCTTGATGCACATCATTTTTTTCTCAGATTCAAAATGGCTGACTGGTGGCCATTTTGTTTTTAACAAATGCTGTTTTTGGCACTAACATGACTGATCTAATCATGCTCAAACTTTACGCTTGCATCATGTAACACATTTTTACATACATCTGTTATAGAATCTCTTTCAAGATGGCTGATCATCATTTTCATTCTAAAAATGCTTCATGTATGAATCATTAGGCTCGAATGTTCACAGTCGCTAAAAACTGGGCAGAGACTTGTCATTCGACAATAACTTGGTTGCAGTGACTTGTTATTAATTAAAATTTTACTATTACTATTAATTTCCATGTAAATTGCAATACTTTGAATGTGTTGAGCAATTTTATTTTTTATACCAGGTTTATTTTGTTTCAACATCATTAGTCTCTGCATTACAATAAATACAAACCAACTTTATTGCATATCACTATAGAGACAAACCACTGGAAAAATTCCCATGTACGCTGCTGCAGTTTGTCAAATTAATTTATTTCTTACCAGAGGGTACAAACACACAATGAGTACAATACATTTGCTATGTAACAATGTGTTGTACCTATGACCATATTTTCAAACACTGATCTGTTTATAATACTGGTAAGTGTCTCATTATTGTTATATTTCAGATCTGAGCTGATGAATCAGTTTTTACGACTGCGCCTTAAACACGAACAAATGGAACTAAGAAATTTGGATAGAGGAGTGAGTAAGTAGTGATCATTAAAGTACTCTATACGTGATTATCGGAGATCCAGTTGCAGCTAAACATGCTGTACACCAGTAACCTAAAGGGCTTCTCAATATCTTCTCTGAAACTACTGGTCTCTTAAATTTTTCTCTGAAACTACTGGGCCTTTGAATATCTTCTCTAAAATGACTGGACCTCCTAATGTCTTCTCTGAAACTACTGGACCCCTTAATGTCTTCTCTAAAACTACTGGACCCCTTAATGTTTTCTTTGAAACTACTGGACCTCCTAATGTCTTCTCTGAAACTACTTGGACCCCTTAATGTTTTCTCTAAAACTACTTGACCCCTTAATGTCTTCTCTGAAACTACTTGACCCCTTAATGTCTTTTCTAAAACTACTTGACCCCTTAATGTTTTCTCTAAAACTACTTGACCCCTTAATGTCTTCTCTGAAACTACTGGACCCCTTAATGTTTTCTCTAAAACTACTGGACCCCTTAATGTTTTCTCTAAAACTACTGGACCCCTTAATGTCTTCTCTGAAACTACTTGGACCCCTTAATGTTTTCTCTAAAACTACTTGACCCCTTAATGTTTTCTCTAAAACTACTTGACCCCTTAATGTCTTCTCTGAAACTACTTGACCCCTTAATGTCTTCTCTGAAACTACTGAACCCCTTAATGTTTTCTCTAAAACTACTGGACCCCTTAATGTTTTCTCTAAAACTACTGGACCCCTTAATGTCTTCTCTGAAACTACTTGACCCCTTAATGTCTTCTCTGAAACTACTAGACCCCTTAATGTTTTCTCTAAAACTACTGGACCCCTTAATGTTTTCTCTAAAACTACTTGACCCCTTAATGTCTTCTCTAAAACTACTGGACCCCTTAATGTTTTCTCTAAACTACTTGACCCCTTAATGTCTTCTCTGAAACTACTGAACCCCTTAATGTTTTCTCTGAAACTACTGGACCCCTTAATGTTTTCTCTAAAACTACTTGACCCCTTAATGTCTTCTCTAAACTACTGGACCCCTTAATGTTTTCTCTAAACTACTTGACCCCTTATGTCTTCTCTGAAACTAC